GCAAATGAGAAGAAACACGCGGGGGGGGGGGGGGGGGGATTTCCTCTCCCTTCTTGAATCACTGGAACTCTGAGTCCTGAATTCCCAAAACAGGAAGTGAGGGGAGATTTCCCATAACAAGACACAAAAAGCAACCTTGTTGGATGTGAACCCTTTTCCATACTATACAAAACTTGGGGGGGAAAAGGCAGCGCTTTATGAACTCTTGTATAGAATGGAGTCATTTGAAAGTTATGTTGGACAAAACCAAAGTCAAGAGCTCTATTACAGCTCTTACAAGTTAGTTACCTATTAGAATATATGATGTCAGATTTGAAAAAGGGTGGTAAATTAATGCCAGGAGATCTGTGTGTGTGGGGGGGGGGGCAGAGGGATGGGAGGTAGAGTTCAGAAGATCAAGTCAGAAGATGTATTTTACTTAGCTCCCAACTGTCCCGCATTTGGAACCGAATTGCTCTGTCCCTCTTTCTACCAAAAGTGTTATACTGCATTAAACCTTTCCTCTAAACTCTAAATGATTTAATTTGTTCTTTTGGAAAGCAAGTATGATGCTAAAGTAGTGGTGAATGAAAGAACTTGTGGGTTGGACCGGTCTTTTTTTTTTTTCTGTGCCCACTTAACTGAGGGCATGTTGGGGGTGTATCCTTTGCCTACTGTAGCATTGCGTGGCAATGCCATGGTGTTCTGTGTCCTCAAAGTAACCCAGGATTCTCAGCTAGAGGGGCTGAGCGGCTCCAGGAAGCAATCGCTTGTATCAGGAAAGAGCTGGCTTTTCAGTCCTTTCCATGTTTTCTGGTTCATAGTTGGGATCCTGGAGCCAGGAGATTTCTTAGAGCTCTGGGTGGGATGAAATCTCCATTCCTGGGTCCATGCTTTAGTAGCAACCAGCACCGGATTGTGCACCTGTGTACATCCCTCATGAAGAGGGTGCTGGGATGTATCGAGGGCCCCACCTGTGAGTCAGGAGAACTCCACCCAGGAGTCAGTGGAGGCCGGTGCAGCAGGGAGCTGCAGGTTTGTGGAGCCTATTGTGCAGGTTGGCACATTACTTGGAGTTGTCTGGAGGTAACAGACAGTGGCCCTGAGGATTGAGGTTGGAGCAGCAAGAGAAAAGTGTTTCAGGACTGGGACACTGTGAGGGACAACTCGAGGATTGGTGAGCCCATATCTGTTATATGCTGCAGCAAGCTATTTTTATGTTGGACTTCTTGATTGTCTGCCTTTTGAAAGAAAAATAAAGACTTTTTTGTTAAAGGAAAAACACTGTGCGAGTGCTCTGTGAGCTCCCCAACATCACAAGTGGTGGAGAATGCGGGCAGCAGAGGTATCCTTGTGAGCTTCCATGGAGTCCAGTAAGCTGGAGCTCAGAGTTTCCCACGATGACTCTTGTGCCAGCCAGACGGGTAACAGTAACAATGATGACGGTATGGTAAAGAAAGTGGATGTACAGGAGAACTTGGTCACTCCACCTGTATTGGCAACTGAAGATTTAAGCAGCATGTCTGCTTTTCAGCTGCCAAAGCTTTTTGTGTCTCCCTCTCTGACGGCTTTGATGTTACCGGGTGCCTTTTGAGGGGAGCACAGAACGGGGGGATTGGGAAAGCTTGACCAAAAGTATACTGTCTATGTTAAAGGGGGTCTCTCCCTGCGACTCTAAGACGGAGAGTACTTCTGCAGTTCCTGATCGAGGGGCTGCTAGCCTTGGTGCAGATGGAAGCACCTGTGTGGTAGCAGCCGTTTCCCCTCAGCAGGTAAAAGGGCTGAGAATCCTGGGTTACTTTGAGGCCACAGAAAACCGTGGCATTGCCACGCAATGCCACACTACATAGTTTGGGCGAAACGTTTTCCCTCTTCTACATTTAAAGAGGTATGGGTTTAGCAAAAGCCCAGGTATCTGATGTGCACCTTTTAGGCCATGGGATTTCTGGTTGGGCGTTTAAAAGCGATTTTCGAACTGCTCAAAAATGCCCAGGTATGAACCAGGCCTTTGGTGTCACAGAGTAACGAGCAGTCCTTGTTTCAGAAAACTGAAGCCAATACAAATGGTAAATTAGTCTGAAGAAACCATTGATGTATACACCCTTATAAGTATACTCCAGTGCATTTGAACACAGGTTTTATTAAAGGAGAACTATTGGGTCAGTGCTTTTCCCCATAGTTCTCCTAAGGGTAACGGGAGGACACAAACTAGCGTCCTCCCGTTACCCTAAGCTCAGTATACCGCGAGCTACAGCTCGCGGTATACTGAGACGCCGCAG